GGAAAGAGAAACACACACACACACACATAAATACACACACACACACACGTAGCGCGTCTCGTTCGATCGAAAAATACGCGCAGACCAATCGACGATACGCGCGTATTTGTCAATATACACGCCGATAAAAGAGAAATCTGTTTTGCAAATCCATCTGAAACTTTTCCAACTTTTTCCACCTGTTGGACAGAGAGAAGGAAACCGGGGAAAAAGTGAGAAACAAGCGAGAATTTGAGAAGTGAAGGTTTTGACGACTTGATTCTCAGCCGCCGTAATTGCATGTAATACTTCGATAGCACGCACACATGGAGGAAAACAAGAAAGAATAAGAAAACACAACGCGCATATCAGCGCGCATACTCGTTGATATATAATACGTGTACATATACCGCTTCTCTGACGAGTAAACCGAAGAAACATGGTATATATATATATATACATAAATATAAATATACATATACGAATCATTAAAAAACGAAAGCTTTCTCCTCTTAACTGGTATAAATATACATACATCTATACATATATATCATCTATATGTCGCCTTGTTCGAGATCATTGGCGGATCATATTTTTCGACTGTTGTATAGCCTTTTTTTCGTCGATGAACAGAAAAGAAGAAGAAGAAGAAATAACAGACGTCGAGTCGCTGTGGCGATAAGGAAGGATGGAAGATAAGCGCGATACATACATTCGATTCTCTTCTCGATTAGCGTGGGCAAGCACGTGTGTACCTTCCGGGAAGCGTTTCCGGAAGTTGCGTTTCGGGCCAATGGACTGGGATGTTGCGTGCAAGGTTATTCCAGCCATTAGATCGTAGTTTAGGCCAACTCGAAACCAGTTAACGGTCAAAGCTGGATGGCATAGCGAAACTTAAATATGTAAGACAATCGGATGTCGATGACTTCGATCTCGTCGTTGTTCATCCGGTGTCCACGTGACGATCGAATCATTCGAAGGAGAAGAAGAGGAAGATAACGAAGATGAAGAAGAAATCTCGGCTCGATACTTAACGAACTCGTCTCACGTTTTCGTTCTTTTTTCTATGTTCGACGACAGTTGTGTATGCTCGCTATCGTTAGGATTTATTCGATGGAAGCGTTTAAAAAGGCTCTGTACGTACGTAGGCCGCATATGTAACAAAGAAAGAAAAAAACGAAAAACCAAAAAAAAAAAAAAAAAAAAAAAAAAAACCAAAAAAAAAAAAAAAAAAAAATAATACACACGCAAGCGTAGATCTTTCTGTACGCATCTCGTGTCGTACCCGATTTTTTCTAACGACCCGTATCTCGTTTACCGGGGCGAAGGTGTGAATGTGTCAGGTATTCTAGGTACACCAGGAACAACATTAAAAAGAAAAGAGAGAAACAAGAAAAAAGAGGCAAGAGAACACACGGTGAAAGAACGGAAGTCTTGATCTATATGGATTTTCGCGGATAGATATTACCATATTTTCCGAGTGTTACGAGAGGACGTTGTTACTGTAAAGATATGTAAGTTTATTTATCGCTAATAAAAATGAACGTTTATGAAAAATAGATATTCGATGCGATTCTGCCCAGATTCTCTAACGAGAACGAAAATAGTTCGCGTTAATTTTTCACTTGCAAACTCGTCCTTCGACGACCGAATTTTCAACGAAGCGCCTCACATTCCCAGGACTGTCTCAAGCCGTGAACCAGAAACGTAAATTAGATTAGTGTAAGTTACGATCGTTAGGAGGAGCCAGCTAAATAGCTAGACTTCTGCTTGTTCCACATTTGCACGCGGTTCTTCTCTTACTTCTCTCCGAATATCGTTTCGTTGAACGGAGAGGGAGAGTAAAAACTGGTTTACGAGGAAACGTTTGTTTATTAGATTTATTAGACCCTCTAAAATATTTGAAACAGCATGCGGCTCTTGTTATTTTTGCGTAACAGTGAGATATCGTTAATTAGGTACACAGTACGGAAGCTCAAGGAGAGCGAAGCGATCAAGATCGATTTTAAAATTTCACAAATTCAACCGTACCTTTCTCACGGTCTCGGGATCTCTCCTGTATGTTCGTCGAGCGAATCGAACGAATACGTAGAAATACGTTCGAGAACCGTAACACGTCGTCCACGCGTTTCGTCGCGTTCTCCAAAATGGCGGGAACGCGACATTCGATCAGCGGCTCTGTTCGCGATCGATCTTTTTCGCGGTGCTGTTTTTCTTTTCCCTTTTCTTTCATACTTCTTAACACGTTAAGGTTACTTTAGGTGGAGAGAATACAGTGTGCGACTTAGATTTACACGAGAGAGAGTAAAATCGAAAAATCCACATAGTCTTACGAGAAGAAATCGATCACGGAGCCGGCCCCGCCTCTTTACAATTTGAGACACAATGCGACCCTAGAGAGACACGACGGAGAACGTTTTCTCTGCGTACGCGAGCAATTGAAATCGTTCGAAAGTAAATACTGTTTCGTATCGGGAGAGGAGCACACGATCGTTTTCTATCTTTTTACAATTATATTTATAACCATGTTCGCTGTACGGTTTATTTCTGTTTGTTTTGTTCGACGTACAGTAGGATTTCAACGATCGTCCCTCCGTCTCCGTCGCAGTACGATCTCTCGTTAAACACGGTTCAACGAACAGTTTATGTTTTATCGGTAGATACGTTTCAGCACAGTTAACGAAGAAAGTTAAACGAGGCGTCGCTTGTTGAGACTTTATGTTACACAAAACTGTTTCTTTCTTTCTCGTTTCCTACAAGGAGGAAGAAGAAGAACACGACGTCGAAAAATATCAGCGCTTTGATAAACGCTCGACGAGAGATTCTAAGGTAAAATTCATTTTCTTTTTATTCTTTCGAGTAACTACACCATCGAAGAATCGAGTTAAAATCGAAAAGTGTGAAAGAAGGGGAATCGTACTTTCGTTTCGTGCTGTGCGATTCGATATATAATAATTGTGCGCCAATGTAGCAAGGAAGAGACGAATCTTTTAAAAAGGTGTAACATAAAATCACACCAGGCGTTGTATCTACGGATCTTACGGTAGGTGCGATTAGGACTTGTCGAAACTGTCCCCTGACATTGACCAAAGATAACAAGTGTCACGGCTAAGCCGAGTTCAAAGTGGCGCCGCGACTTCGCTTAGACGGTGGCGCGACCTGTTGCTTCGAAACGCAACTATCTTCCGCGTCGGCGCGAATTTCAAATTTTTCCTCTGTCTCTTTCGTTAATTTTTTTTTCTCGTTCCTCTTCGTTCGAGTTTCTTTTTCTCGGTGTTACAATGTACAACGAACGAAAGCAGAAGGCTGGGACGTTTCGAAGAGAATTCATTCAAATTCGATCCGCGACACGTGGACACATGCAACGAAGTGAATGTCAGAGGGGAAAAGAACATGACGAACGCTCGCGGTTCGTTGACGGTTTGATCGTCGTTAATTCGTTCTATCTAACACAGACACGAGAATAGGTAAAATCCTAGTAGCCCGGGGACAACACCTCCTCTTCTTCGTCTTCCTCGTCGTCGTCGATCCCTGATTCACCGAGCGCGTGGACGAATTCTGCGAAAAGAAAAAAATCCTTCGATGAATACATGAAAAATCTCAGCGATACGATAAAGGTAAATCAGTTTTACACTCCCGTTAGGACGTATCTACGATATCCACCCTCTGTTACAAAAGTAAATTCCAAATCCTCAATAACACAGATTTTAAATATACATTTAAAAAACTTCTCGGCAAGTATCGAATCGCTTTCGCCGATGTAAGCAGAATGAATTTTCTAAATCGACGTACATAAGCCTACTGTAGCTGTTCGATAAACATAAACCAGTTGAAAGAAGATTCCGGAATTAGGCTAATCCAACTGCAAAAGAGGGCCACGAAGGAACAAGATGTGCTCCCTCTAACCATAGTACCGCAACGAATAAGCCCGTGCTTCGTCCCTCGTCGTTTTTCGAAATCGATGGGACAAAGCACGCGAAAGCTTAAGGCGGAGAGAAGGGGGGGTGGTAGCCGGAATCGCGATCGAAATATTTCAGTTTATCGCCGTAGCAACAATGCACGTCCCCTATCCGCGTAGCACGATTGAACGGGGAAAGCGTTGGAGCAAGAAGCGGGGAGAGAAAACGGGGTCTGGAGACGAGATAGGAGGAAATCGAAGGGATTTTTCGTTTCGAATCTTGCCCCTTGCGGTTACGATTTTGCTCTGATGATCGAGGTCGCGAGGTTACTTCTGTTCCACAAGAACGTCGCTTCTCTCTCTTCCTTCCTTGGTACTATACTTCGAAAAATATCTTCGCGTTTTTCTGGTCCCTTCGTTCCTTCCACGTTCCCTTGCCTTTAGGCTAGCAAGTGTCGATCAATCGTAACCTCGAAGCGGAAGGAAAAAGTTTATACAGGGAGTTTGAAAACTTCAGGGATGGATTCAGTACGGTAAAATAAGAAAAAAAAGGGTCGTATAAACGTATACCCGATGTGAGCTTGTTTCCGAATTATAGCCATTTTTGTAGGATACCTGTTATTTAATAATTTTCGTAGAAATTGTTCGAAGTAAAAGAATTATGAAATTATCGGTGAAATTGTTGTGAAATTTATTAGACGATCACTTGAAATTATTGTGAAATGTATTAGCAAATTTCCATACGTGCTGTTAGGGATTGGGTTTATGACATGGACGCCTGTTTACGCTATTTTTCAATGCGCCCCTTTTCTTCTTCGCGTTAATTAATTTTTCCTTTCAAATTGGCCACGAAGCCGAGGAAGCGTTTTATGGCTGCAGAAAAATAACTTTTCTGCGGGCCATATACCTTCCCGGTGCCCACTCGTGAACATTCGATAGACATAGACATGTCATAAAACCTCTCGCGTCTCCCTGACAGCCCAAAGTTCCGCTACGCGCGGTCTACCCCTTGGACCTCACTCCCCCGCCATCGCGACATACCACCACCCTGCCAATTTGGAAACTCCAGGGTGGGCGGCATGCTCGCGGGCCAGGGAGGACCGTCCAAGGGGGTAGACCCGTTCCCATTGGCGGAGACCACCACTCTATACACATACACTTTTTTTATAAATAAGCGCACCAACGCGGCGCACATCAGATCAAAAAGGGAAAATAGACAAACACCACATAAACTACCACTCTTCAAAATAAAGTCTTTTTCATTTAACATAATAAAATACGTGCAACCTAACCACACCACGACTTCATACCAGCAAACAACCCGCACCACGAACCAGCGACAATCCTGCGCCACCACTCTTGAACATATGTACCGCTTGTTCGAAGCGCACGACGCAACACGTGCTGTTACCACCAAGAACATGTATTAACTCTTTCGATACTAACGACGACTATAGTCGTCCATCTTTGATATTGCTAATCAATTCTACGAATTGTTGTTACTATAAAACGTGTTGAAGTGTGATTTCTTCCCGCCAATTAATACATTGTTCGGCACAATTTAACTGCTATGCTCTCCTTGTCCGATGAAGTGGTAGCGTATTCACGATAAAACTGTCCGTTCAACGGAGGCATAGTGGCCAAAGATGAATCCGTATCGAAAGGGTTAAAGTGATCGAAACAAAATACAAAGTAGTGTTTACTTGTGTGGCTGTACCGCTTGTTCGAAGCGCACGACGCAACACGTGCTGTTACCACCAAAAACATGTATTAACCCTTTCGATACTAACGACGACTATAGTCGTCCATCTTTGATATTGTTAATCAATTCTACGAATTGTTGTTACTGTAAAACGTGTTGAAGTGTGATTTCTTCCCGCCAATTAATACATTGTACGGCACAATTTAACTGCTATGCTCTCCTTGTCCGATGAAGTGGTAGCGTATTCACGATAAAACTGTCCGTTCAACGGAGGCATAGTGGCCAAAGATGAATCCGTATCGAAAGGGTTAAAGTGATCGAAACAAAATACAAAGTAGTGTTTACTTGTGTGGAGGGTACGTCACTGGCAACAAGCCCTTACCGAACCTTGTTCTATTCCCCTTTTGCAACTCCTTCAGATTTTAGTTTCCGTTCTTTTGTCTCTCCCCGGGTTAACCCTAGTGCGTTCTTTCGTTCGACTAAAAAGATAAGAATGCGGTGGGTCAAAAAAGACCCGAAGACCGCTCTAGGGTTAAGACTTGCCTTCGTCCTCGAGTAGCCTAAGAAGCGCACATGTGGCATCCAGGTTTGCACGAGGACTTTCCGTTTCCACCACTTTCTCTACTTCTCTCTTTATCCATCTCTACTCCTGTCTCCCTGTCCTACCAATATAAAAACCTCGGTTCAGTTTTTCTTTTACCAACCGTCGAGATGTACCCGCCGAACCGCTGCCGCAGGGACAATTAACGAATAAAACGATTGCATTTTCCGTGCGAATTGTACGCCGACCATTGCACTTAGATCTTAATAAATTGAGGTGAAAACAGTGCAACGGCGTTCCTCACCCGCCTCACTTGTTAACAATTAAAAGAAGAAGTCGATAGAGTGATAGGAATTACCAGAAAACATAAACGGTTATAATTCAGAAGCAAGCTCATATCGAGTATACGTTTATAGGAACTTTTTTTAATTATTTTAGCGTACTGAATCAAATCCCCGAAGTTATGAAGCACACATGTTTTGAAACACGCTGTATATGTACGTAACTGGAGAATCAGGTATGGAGGAATTTTCTCTTAGAAATTGATCATATTTTCTTGTGATTATTAGGAAGTACAAGGAGAATTGGACTTACCGTAGAAATCGATCCGACCGTCCCCATCCACGTCCACTTCCTTGATCATATCCTCGACTGTAACAAAGAGGAAAAGCCGCTTACATCTTGTATCTGGTCGAGTTTAAAGGGTATCGTCGCGGTAAATCCTCCCGCAAACAGGGGAAAACGATTATGGGCCAAGTTTTTCTCCTCTTTTTACGGTATCTTGATGATATTTCTCTTTTCGCTGCACGTATCGCCGATGAGTCTCTGGTGGCCGAACAAACTTTCCGTCGATTTAGGAGTGATTCGAAAGACAAATCGCCGGGATTAAAATTCATTAATCAAACAACTCGGGGAAGTGTCCCCTTTATCGAACAATTATAAATCAATTTTTATACCGCTGTCTACTCTGAAATTTTCATAACTTGGCGAATCCAATTTCAGGCGATTTTTCGCGTCCGTAGATTTACGATATTTTAATATTAAAATTACCTGCTGACGGTAAGAAAAAATCCTATTCTTTTTTGGTAATGTAATAAAAAGGATCGCGTCGATGTGTTCGATAATTTCAAAAATGAAAATTTATTTTTATTTAGATTTACTAGATTTGCAATATTTTAGTGTTAAAATTGCCTTTTGACGGTAAGAAAAAATTGTCCCAATTCTTTTCAATAAAATAAAAAAGAGGATCGCGTCAATATGCTCCATAATTTGAAGAATAAAAATTTATTTCTACTTAGATTTACTCGATTTGCAATATTTTAATATCGGTATTACCTTTCGACGGTAAAGAAGCACCCCAATTCTTTTTAATAAAATAAAAAACAGGATCGCGTCAATATGTTCGATAATTTCAAAAATTAAAATTTATTAGATTTGCAATCTTTTTATATTAAAATTACATCTTGACGGTAAGAAAACACCCCCACCCCAATACTTTTCGGTAAAATAAAAAAAACAGGTATCGAGTATGTTCGATAATTCGAAAAATAAAAATTCATCAAACAGTCAAGACTCTTCGAAACGAAGATCGGTAATCATCGTTAAAACAGAATCACCTTACCAATTAAATTTATTACGAGCAAAATGCCGCAGGATATTTCTTATGACCATTTCGGTAATCATCCCGCCGTTAAACCGTTGTATTTCACGAAACTTTTGTTATATTCCCTGTCGATTTTGCACGCGTGCAAAAGTCCCACGCCGGATTGATTGCGAAATTGTCGGGTCAGCCTGACGGAAAGTTGAAATTAATATCTCCGCCATTAGCGCGGTCCGCCGTAGGCATTCACTGACACGGCAAATATTGCATTTAGCCTGATTAAAATCACCCATGGACGATAGTATGCTAATTGACGAGAGGGGGCAAGTGGCGGCAATTTAATTTTTCGCCGCGTTTCCGCGTAAAATCCCAAGTATTACCGCGCGAAGTATCGCGCCGCCCAACGATTAATATTCCAACGGGCGATTTTCCCGCGCGGAAAACGCCTCTCGATAATACGTCCAACCTCGATTCGCTCTCTCAACTGACACATGTAACACGGTTGAAAAAAGTGGAAACGATTTTGTCTGATCGCGGCGACCGCGCCGCGTCATGTCGCGAATTTTCCATTTTAATTCCGCCTGATAATCCGATAAATTTCCACGTAAATTCTGTTACCGTCAATTCTCACGTAAATGCTCGATTCTATTATTTTACCGCCGTTAATTCCTTTCTCCGTTACGAATTCCCGTGTGCAACCGTTGCTTCCCTATTTTCCCTGATCCTTTTAGGGGGTTTGCTTTAATTACTTCATCGAAAACGAACAAATATCTTCCCCGTTCGACGTTATAACGATCTCTTCCCAATTTTCAATCACGCATTATCTGATCATTACGTGCACGATCCTCGCGTTACGAGTTTTCAAGAGCTGGCACTATTTGGTTGGTGCATGTGAAACGTCGTATTTTGATAAACAATGTGTGTTAGATTTAATGAAAATAATTTTTATACGATCCTACGCACTTTTTCCAGAGATGATTAATTGGTTTCGTTGCTCCAAATTTATAAGAATTGTTAATTTTTGAGTGAACAAATTTTTTAAATGTCCACGTTTACGGTGTCTTCGTTTCGAGAGAATTTGTTTGTTAGAAAATTGTTCAGGTGTTTGTAGAAATAGGAGTGTGTGTTGGGAAGGGAAAAAGTCGACGATGAGGCAAAATTTGATATTCTTTCCCGTGGATTGTTTCCAATAATTTTTCCTGAAACGTTATCACCCAGGACCCTATCTGGCCTTCCTCTTGGCTCATTTCCAACGAAAACTCGCCAATCTTGAATTTCGCACACCAACGTTGAAGTGTCCTCGCATTTACATAACCTTCTTCAAATGTTGAATTCATATTTTCCGCAGTTTTTACTGCAGTTTGTCCAAGTTTACTAATTACGCGAATATCCCGATTATTCATCGCGTAAATTGTATTATGAATCTTTTCGCTACTAAATACACAGGTAGGTATTTAAAATGTATTTTGTATTTTTCCTATTACAGCAAATTCCTTCCTCTTGACTATTATGTATAAAAATTTAACATACAGTATCGATCCGCCAATGTCAGTTATTAAAAAAACGACACTAGGGTCATTAAACTTGGCAAGGCGGATGCCGAGTCACCGCTGACCCGGCTTTTAAATGTCTCTTGCTTCAATTGGCATTCGAAACAGAGTCAATACTCTACTCTTCTTGTATTAAAAACTTTGTTAGTTTACTCATAGTATATTCGTATAATTTTAAACAATATAATGCTTATTAAAGTAAAAAAATTTGGTTTCGCTTGCGTACGACAAAGATTTTAGTATTGGGTCATACTTGACCCGCCATCCGCTGGCTTCTACGTAGATATCTCTTGCTTCAATTGGCATTCGAAACAGAGTCACGACTCTACTTTCCCTTACATTAAAAATATATTTGTTATTTCAATCATATAATTCATCTACGTAATTTTAAACAGTACAACGCCCGATAAAATAAAAAAAATTTGGTTTCGAAAAAGATTTCAGTATTGGGTCATATTTGACCCGCCATCCGCAGTCAGAGCGTAAATTCCCCGCCAATTTCACCCACGATCGGCGCAGGTCCGCGAAAGAACTCGTAGAAACTTGAATGGACGATGACAGCTACCCTGCTACCCTACCACAAGTCTCCACTAACAAATGTAACTTCCTCCCCGAATTTACCGCAGCCGAAAACGGCGAGGATACGTACCTACCTGTGCCGCACACTCTCCTCTTAAATACGTAACTACGATCGTACGGGGAGAATCGATCCCAAGATAACTCGGTACGTCGTCTTCCTCGCGAATTTCCCATTTTTCACGGATCGCCGAACCACGGCGGCACTCCGATTCACCTACTGAATTATACAAACGGCAATTTTCTCGAAGGGCGTTATTAACCATTATCGTAATCGGTTTCATCATAGCCCGGAGCAATTATTAATACGCGTACACAGAAATACGTGTGCTGCACAAATTGATTCCGGTCAATTAGCAACCTCATCCCATCGAACAGACGGATTATTACATCGGTATATGTGCTGTACGTATATACATGTATATAGCGTAGATAGAGCTGTTGAATGGAGAGGGAAAGCGCGCGCAATTTACCATCTCGCAGGATGGTTCGAGCTATTAACGCAAACCTCGCGGACAAAATTTGCACGAGATGCTTCTTGATTGTTCGCCGTGAATGTTTCATGGCGCTGAAATAGGCGGCGGAAGTTGCGGGATGTGGAAGATAGTTTCGTTGTTTTTCCACACGGCCACGGTTATTTTACCGGGCCCGCTTCACCGGGCTAACTTTGTTACCCCGCTTCATCCGGGTCGGTTGATCGTCGTTACTAGAGAGAGGAGAAAATTCACCTTCCGCTGGGAAGTTTTAAACTGATATTAGGATGCGAACGGATGGTGAAGGAAAAATCACCGGTATCGAGTTAGCACGGATCTGATATAACGAGGTGTAGTATTCTGATTGGCGTTGGAATTGTAGCGTGATTAGATAAAGCGTGAATTTTTAGGTGCAGGTCAGTTGGAAGTACCGTTTGTGTTTTATCTGGGTTTGAAGGCTCACCTTTTCCGATTTACTTTGTCAGTTGATTGTTTTGAGGGTATTTTAACACTTTTGGGTTGATTAACGAGCTGTAGTGTTCTGATTGGCGTTGGAATTGTAGCGTGATTAGATAAAGGGTGAATTTTTATTTGAAATTATTTTTATTTCAGTTTGAATGCTCACTTTTCTCGCTTCTCTGATATACGTTTGCAATTTGATTGTTTTGAGGATATTTTAACCATTTTGGGTCGATGTAACAAGGTGTAATATTCAGAGTGAATTGGAGTTGTAGCTCGATTAGATAAAGGGTGAAATTTTAGGTAGAGATGAATTGGGAGTACCGATTTTTTTTATTTAAGTTTGAAAGCTCACTTTTTCTGATTTACGTGTGCAATTTCTTTGTTTTATGGACATCTTAACCCTTTCGCGATTATTAAAATGTATACACGGTCGTTGATGAATTTTAGGACACCTATTATGTCTGTACAGAAAGTATTATACGATTTAAACTACATTTCTACGCCAAAATTGGTATCATGTATCAATAAAAATACGAGCTTTGATAAAAAATATACATGTAACGTATACTGGCGTTCGTAAGAAGACGATTTAAATTACATTTCACCGCCAAAATTAGCCGAGATTCTATAGTGAATAATTTTTTTTAGGAGCTCAATAATTTTGTAACGACTTCTGTTCGTCAAATAATTTTGTATTAAACTTGTAATAATAATAGTAGATTTCGTTAGGTTTCGGTAGATTTTAGTAAAATTCAGTAGATTCCAGTAGAACTTCGTAAAATTTTATAGATTTCAATAGGTTTTCCTAGAATTCTATAGATTCTGGTAGATTTCAACAGCGTTCGGTAGATTTTAATAGGATTCCAGTAGAATTCGCTAGATTTCAATAGATTTCAATGCAGGTACCTCACTTTCAGTAAATGCCCTAATACTTATGAATGGGAATGTTCACACATATATACGTCCCATTTATGTACTCCAACTAAAACT